TTTTTTTGAGACGAAGTCTTACTCTGTCACCCAGGCTGGAGTGCAGTGGGACAATCTCGGCTTACTACAACCTCTGCCTTCCAGGTTCAAGCAATTCTCCTGCCTCAGCCTCCCGAGTAGCGGGGATTACAGGTGTGCGCCACCATGCCCGGCTAATTTTTGTATTTTTAGTAGAGACAGGGTTTCATCTTATTGGCCAGGCTGGTCTCGAACTCCTGACCTCTTGATCTGCCCACCTTGGCCTCCCAAAGTGCTGGGATTACAGGCGTGAGCCACCACGCCCAGCCCATGACACCCTCCTATCATCATATCCTCTGTCCTCTCACTACTCCACATGTGCTGGGAATTTTAAATCCCTTCGTTCCATGTAGCCGGTTTATTCCATGTTGTGCACATCCATTTTGGCTGGGTGGAGTCGACTAAGAATACCATCATGGGAAACTACAGTGCTATTTACTGTCATCTGTGATTGTATTAGCCACCCGCACTAGACCCTGCCTCGTTCCTCAGGGCCTCATAGCACTATTGGCTCAGTGAGGCTTTTTTTTTTCTCCTTCTTTCCTTCTTTCCTTCTTTCCTTCTTTCCTTCTTTCCTTCTTTCCTTCTTTCCTTCTTTCCTTCCTTCCTTCCTTCCTTCCTTCCTTCCTTCCTTCTTTCCTTCCTTCCTTTCTCTCTCTCTCCCTCTCTCTCTCTCTCTCTCTCTCTTTAATACAAATTCTTGCTCTGTCACCCAGGCGACACCTCCTGGACTCAAACGATCCTCCTGCCTCAGCCTCCCAAGTAGCTGGGACTGGTATGCACTGCCATACTCGGCTTATTTTTTTTTATTTTTTGTAGACCCAGGGCCTCACTATGTTGCCAAGGTTAATCTCAAACTCCTGGCCTGAAGCAATCCTCTTGCCTCAGCCTCCCAAAGCTCTGGCATTACAGGTCTGAGCCGCTGCACCCAGCCACTGAGCTTTTTATGCACTGCTGTCACTGCTGAGCTATTTCCCAGCCCCCATCTTGCCTGGTACTGTCGATTTAGGGGGGCCCAAGTAGATTTTACATTTTATCTCTATGCAGTGTATCTCTCTCAAGGTCTTTTTTGAATCCACCCCGCACCCCTACAGTCATCATTTAATGAGATCTGAGACCATGATTAGTCAGATCTAGCCCCAAACACCTCTTGGCACCTTGTCAATTCAGTTCTCAGAAGAGGAGGTGGATGCTAGGGTGAGAGTGGAGTGGCACGGGGCAGTAGGAGGATTTCTCCCTTTGTTTCCCCTTCTATGTTTTCAAACAATAGGTATGGGGATAGGGAAGAATATCTAGACAATGTATTTATTTTCCACATCCAATTGATACAATGTTTACCAATTGCTTAAAGAGGAAGGTAGGTCTTTCTTTGAAGTCTCCAAGAAACTCCCCCAAACCCAGCCATCACAATGCCAACTTAGCTGTTGGGTGTAGACTCCTGACCACCTTCAGACGCACTGTCTCCTTTTAACCGCTGAAGCGGTAATACAAGGATGGAACATTTAAACTCCGCCGCTGCCCAAGCTCAAGAAATGAAATAGGAAACGCGTTTAACTAAACGGTTATATCAGGTTCTGCGTAACTCTCTTCAGTGTTTCCAGCCTCAACAAAACCACGTAAAGCCCCAGTGTACTCTGGGGGACAGATCATTCATTCACTGATGTGTTCAAGAAACACGCATGGAGGTCACCGCCTAGGTTATAGGAGAGGAGAGAGCGGGAACGCCAGGAAAGCAAGGTGTGGGACGGATTTTAGATTCACGTGAGAGAATAGAGAAAAATCTCCACTCTGACCTCGGGTACCAACACACAATATTTTAAAATAAAGACAGAAGTAGAGGTCATTCTAACCACAGATGGGATCTCACAGGTGGGATCGGCCTCTCGGTTCTGCGGTACTATCTGATGAAATAGTTCCCAGGGCCAATGTTTAGACAAACAAAACCATTTCATCAAAGCGCAATGGGCAAGAAAGAGAGGAGAAATGAGAAGGCATGTGAGCTGGGAGACAGAAAAAGCCCGAGAGGAGACAAGGAAATCCACCCCCTTGCGCCCATTTCTGCCAGAGCTTTGCGGGACGTGTCTCAACCTGGCATTTCGAGTCCAGAACAAAAGCAACCCGCGCTGCGGCGCGGGCAAGGGGAGGGCGCGCGGTGGGTGACGCGGCGCAGGGGCCGTGGGGAGCGCGGGAGGGGCGGTCAGCAGCCGCTCGCGGGCCTGGGCTGGGGGCCCCGCGCGACTCCGGGTCTGGCTCCTGGATCGGGGTGGTTGCCCGGCGCCCCTCAATGGTCGCCGAGGCTCGGTCTCGATGGCCCTGCGGCTGCTACGAGCGCCTCCCGAGCTCCGGGCCCGCGGCGCCCGCTCCAGGTGTGGGCACGGCGCTGTGTCCCTTTACCTGCGCGCAGCGGGTCCTCCGGTGAAGCCATGGGGGCGGGTTAGGGGCAAAAGAGCGTCCGAGCGGGGCTGGCCGGCCTCCGGGGCGCGGGAGGACAGTGGGATCACGGAGATGGGCAGTCCTGCGGCTCCTACGCGCCAGGAGCAAACCTCCGCTGCCCCGCGCGCCCTGGCCTTCCTCCGCCTTCTCCTCCTCCCTCCTTCTTCTTCTGCTCGGCTTCTTCCACGAGCTCACTTCCTGCTTTGGCAATTAGCAAAGCCCCTTCGCCGGGCGTCCCTGGGTACCTCCCCCCAGAGGCGCGGGGCGGGAGCCGGAGTGCGGTGACCCGGGGCTGGGAGGCAAGGAGGGCCCCTGGGTGTCCCCGGCGTCCCCAGCGCTCGGAGCGCGCTCCCTGCCTGGTGCCCACGTCCCCCTGGCCCGGTCCCAGCGTGGGGCTCACACGACTGCCGCCCGGGACAGACCGCGAGCGAAGGACTGGCCTTAACAAACGGCTGCAGTCGCGGGTCGCTTTCCTGGCGCCCTAATCACGCCCTCTGCGGAGGCACCAGAACTCCCCTTACACAGGCCTGGGCTGAGATGCCCGCCGGCGATCTGATATTTGAACAATTTCCTGATCTTTAAGCAGCCTCTGCCGCTGCATGATGGCACACGCTGGTACTTTCTATTTTGATTTTTCTTTGGCATTAGACCTCCAGGGTGAGTGCTGCACAAAACGAGTGAAAAGACGTTGCCCGATTCACACGCACAGCCTCTCTAGAAAAAACAGCTTCGGGTTCTCTCGGAAATGCTGATTTCAAATATTTAAAATATTATGTTCAATACCCAGGACTTCAGTGAGAACATGTTGGAATTGGTTATGAAAAATATATTTAAGATTGCTACATTTTAACTAAAGCTATCATCAATCTTAAATCTATTATAGGAAGGCTACGGGCATTTTAAATTTAATAGGAATCTTTGAAGAGCTCTAAATCATCTTTTTCTGCCTTCGCACATAAGAACGGAAAGATAAGTTGGGTGGAAAGAGATAATAGTATTTAGTGTCCAATATATCGGAAAATTATCATAAATAAGCAACTGCTGGCTAAAAACCCAGCTCTTAGAAAGGTAGGAAAACAACAAATGCCTACATACACTCTTGGTGACCAGGTTTAGTGCCTCTCCCCATCTGTTTAGTCGTCCTGAGGCCCATGGGAATCTTGAATCTGCCTTCTTATTCTCTGGAGCTTGCCATGGAGGAAACAAGAGGTTCAGAGAAGATGCTCGCTGGCTATCTAACCAGAGTCAAACGTTTTAGATGAAAGCTCTCTGGGGAATTTGTGAGGGTGGGGGGAGGGATAAACTTCCTCTTGGTCTGCCTTCGGATAGGAAGGGAAATTTTTTTAAGGGTATTTTATCTTAGAATCAATTTGGAGGTTTGGTTTGTGGTTCTTTTTGTAATTCTCATGAAGATGGAATTATTCTGACGTTGACTGCCAGGAAACACCAGTTGAGTGATCTTGTTATCAGCCCAACCTCAAGGATTGCGCCAAAGCTGGTTTGCTTTTTGAAACTCTGAACTGTAATTTTTTTTTATCATTCCCATTCTGCCTTATATCAAATAGAAAACGGATGGTAGAAAGATATTTTAAGGTTTTTTTTTTTTTAAGGAAGATTGACTAGTTATGTAGATTACTATTCCCTTTCATTTTCATTTCCTCTTGACTCCTTTCCTATGAATTGCAATGATCCCCATCATTACCTTTATTTTTCTATGTGCTTTGCAAAGTACAAAGTATGATGCAAATGGGTGCTATTGCTGCTTTTGCACTTTACAAAAAAAGTAATTTAAAAATGATTCTCATTCACCAGAGTTTCCATACCATCAATTGCTGTCACAATATGTCCTTCAACTTTTATTCATCTTGCTGTTCAAGAGTGTTTTAAACCACTGTTGAAAATGGACATTTTTGGGCCAGGTGTGGTGATTCACACCTGTAATCCCCAGCACTTTGGGAGACCAAGGTAGGTGGATCATTTAAGGTCAGGAGTTGAAGACCAGCCTGGCCAACATGATGAAACCCCGCCTCCACTAAAAATACAAAAAAAATTAGCCGGGTGTGATGATGTATGCCTGTAATCCCCGCTAATCAGGAAGCTGAGGCAGCAGAATCACTTGAGCCCTGGAGGCAGAGGTTGCAGTGAGCTGAGATCACGTCATTGCACTCCAGCCGGGGTGACAGAGCAAGACTCTGTCTCAAAAAAAAAAAAAAAAAAAAAAAGAAAAGAAAAAATAGACATTTTTAACATTTCCTGATAATACCCAAACACTCAATCTCAGAGTCATGTGAAAAATTTCATATTTCCATAACTTCACTGCTCTTTGAGTGACCTCCAATTTTCCTTTTCCAATACATGGGATAGTGCATTTGGTAATCATGGAGTCAAACATGCTGGATTTGACTGATGGGACTGTCACGTGTGGTTGTGTTACATTAAGCAAGAAACGATGAGTCTGTAAGTGTCTGCAGGATTGTCAGAATTCACTGAAATAATGTTTATGTGAAAATACTGGCTGGGCAGGGCGGCTCACACCTGTAATTCCAGCAGTTTCGAAGGCTAAGGTGGCAGGATAGCTTGAGGCCAGGAGTTCAAGACCAGTCTGTACAACATTTTGAGACTCAGTCTCTACAAAATAATTTAAAAATTAGCCGGATCCCAGCACTTTGGGAGGCCAAGGTGGGTGGATCGCTTGAGGTCAGGAGTTCAAGACCAGCCTGGCCAACATGGCAAAACCCTGTCTCTACTAAAAATACAAAAATTAGCAGGCACCTGTAATCCCAGCTACATGGGAGGCTTGAGCCCCGGAAGCAGAGGTTGCAGTGAGCCGAGACCGTGCCATTGCACTCCAGCCTGGGTGACAGAGCAAGACTCCATCTCAAAAAATAAATAATACAAATACAAATACAAAAATTAGCCAGGTGTGGTGGCAGGTGCCCAGCTATTTGGGAGACTGAGGCAGGAGAACTGCTTAAACCTGGGAGGCAGGGGCTGCAGTGAGCTGAGACTGTGCCACTGAATTCCAGCCTGGGCATGGAGTCAGACTCCTTCTCAAAAAAAAAAAAAAAATTAGCTGGGCATGGTGGTACATGCCTATAGTCCCAGGTACTCTGGGAGGGTGAAGCAAGAGAGTCACTTGAGCCCAGGAGTTACAGACCAAAAGGAGCTATAATCCTACCACACCACTGGGCGACAGAGGGAGACCCTGTCTCCAAGCAAGTAAACAAACCTAAACTAAGGCCTTAGGTGCAAACAAACCAGATACTTTCCTGCCTTCATTCTTTCCTTGGAATTTAGTTTATTGAGAGAAGCTCCTATTGCCTTTGTTATAAGAAATAAATCAATATTTATTACAGTGTTTATATACAGCATGGAGCAATGGATTGATTGTTTGCATTCATTAATGCAATTTTTAAAATCTCACCCCCTCCCCATGAACAAAACAAAATTCCAAGCCTGGGGAAATCAAAATGAGAAGTCCCTGACTGTGAGGAGTTTGTGGTCAAAAGAGATTTGCAAATATTGCTGTAGAACTGGAGAAATGAAAGTCTAAACCAGGAAAGGTGTGTGTGTGGAAGGAGGCACTGAAGATGAGTGGATGTAAAGTGGCTTGGTCATGACCATCCTGGATTGACGAGTAACCATGGAAGTTTCAGGTGAATTCCGAGGCCTTAATTAATGGGTACAAGGCTGCAGCCATAAGCGTGGAGAGAACTGCTGGTCTCATGTCTTTTCACCAACAGGAATGTGCTGCTTCAACAGGGGGAAACAACAACTCCAAGTACGTTTTGTTAGATTCATCATAACATACATCGTTTTTGTTTATTTTGTACCATTTGAGTAAGCGTTACAGTGAAATTTCTGCAATCTAAGATAAAAAATTAAATTATTGAAGCACATACCTCTTATTTAAAAATATATGTACATTGTATACAGATAAAACTCAGCGCATTGGGCTGCTCAAGTGGGCCTGATCTATAGAGAGTGGCTAGAACCGCAATGGTAAAATATGAATTTAGGAACATAAGTGACACTATGCCTCAGAATGGGGCAGTCCCTACAGTTGAATTTGCTTGATATACCCTTACTGAGTCATATATGATGGAAGATACCCCAACAAGAGTTACTAAGTTCCTGTGTCTCTGCATTTTTGGAACAGACAGTTGTTAAATTTTGCCCAGAGCGCTTACAGGCAGTTGTACTAACTTCTCATACGGGTGCCCAAGTTTTCTTCTTGAGAATCACTGTTCCCATCCTCAATCCATGCGATTAGGTGGTGGCACCATCACCCCTGACTCCTGAGTAGTCCAGGGCTTGGAATATGACTGTTACAGCCTTTCCAGGCATTGCTACAGTGAGTCACTGAGTGCAGGAGGTGTGTGGGATCTTTACAAGGGCAGGGGGATGGGTCTTAAAATAACTAGCCCAAGCCAGGCATGGGGGTGGACGCCGGTAGTCTTAGCTACTTGGGAGGCTGAGCAGGAGAATTGCTTGAATTCAGGAGCGGGAGGTCGCAGTGAGCCAAGATCGCGCCACTGCACTCCAGCCTGGGTGACAGAGCAAGACTCTGTCTCATAATAATAATAATAACCATCCCAAGGGCACACAGCTGGTATGCGGTAGAAGGAAGGAGTAGGAGTGAAACATTTAGGAGAGTCTACACTACCAACCTCCTTGAATGCCAGACAAAAGCATTTGAAACTAGTTTTTAGACAACAGGAAGCCAGTTTTTGAAAAGTGGCATGAGAAAATTGGTGTTTTGGAAGATTAATCCAGCAGCTGTGTAGGATGGAACAGAGCTAGGAGGGAATGCAGGGGAGAGACGTTTAATCCTTATGATACACTGTAATTTATTAGAGTTGAATTTACATCTTCATCCAAATGCAGGAAAAACTCATTCTAGAAATTGTTTTTTCTGTAAGTGATTGCGGTACAGGTGGTACTTGGTTATATGAGTAATTTATTTGGTGGTGGTTTGTGAGATTTTGGTGCACCCATCACCCGAGCCTATACACTGCGCCATATTTGAACTCTTTTATCCCTTGCTCCCTCCCACTCTTCCCCCCAAGTCCCCAAAGTCCATTGCACCGTTCTTATGCCTTTGCATCCTCATAGCTTAGCTCCTACATATTAGTGAGAACACACGATGTTTGGTTTTCCATTCCTATCAGAAAAATTTAAACATTCTTTTGCTTTTTTTTTTTGAGATAGGGTCTTGTCTGTCTCCAAGGCTAGAGTGCAAAGTGTAGTGGCATCATCACAGTTCACTGCAGGATGGTCGTCCTGGGGTTCAGTCAATCCTCCCACCCTCAGCCTCCTGAGTGTCTGGGACTACAGATGTGCCCCACTATGCCTGGCCAATTAAAGTTTTATTTTTTGTAGAGACAAGAGTCTCACTACATTACCTAGGCAGGTCTCAAACTCCTGGGCTCAAGGGATCGACCTGCCTTGGCCTCCTAAAATACCGCGATTGTAGGAGTGAGGCACCATGCCTAGCCTTGTTACTTTCTTAAGCATTCATTATTACATAGGAGTCAATTGCCTTGTAGATTTTGCATAAATACATATAATTATCTGGAAAGGTATATTCCAAAATGTCAACAGAGGCACTGAAGCTTAAATAAGTAAAATATTAACTTTGTGCTGATTTAATTTCTGTTTGTCAGAGGGACAGTATTCCAGTGCATATATTTAAGCATGAATAATTCCTTTTTTTTTTTTT